GGTATATATATACATATATATTATTCATACCTTCGGTGTATAGGACGCAAGCAGATTTTGACATCAAATTTTTGGGGAAAAAGTGTGTCTTATACACCGAAAAATACGGTATATATATACACATATATACATACAAGTCAGACTGTATTTTTATGTAAAGGTTACTGCTCATAGCTGTAACCATGGAAACCTAAATATTTTGTTAACCTAGTTGTGTCACATAATAACAAAGATATACCTTTATTTAAGAGAAAAATATTTCTTCACAAGATATATATTTATTATTTCTTCAGTGATAATTAAATCCTTAATAGATGGTTTTAAGACTAATGTTGATACTTCAAGAATATATACACAATTGTAACCACTGTGATGAAAAGAGATGTTTGAATATGAGATAGTTACTGGCAAAAGCTATCTGAAATGATGGATAGTTTCTAAAGTTTGTTTAGAAAACTATATCGTTCAAAATGGGATTGTGATAAAGAAAGTTGTTACAGAAATAAAACCATTATATTTTGAACAATTAAGTAATTTTAATTAAGTTATGACTGTTAATATGTTTTGTTCAAATACTACATTAGAACAAAATACTGCTTACAAATATGGAAAATATAAAAAAAATAATTGGTATTAAGTTTCATATGATTTTTTTTTCTATTTTATGTGTTTTACTCAATTCTCAGAGCTGTAAGGCAAACTTCAGCTTGTTCATGTATTTGATAATTGCAGAAACTAGCATCCATATAGTAATTCTCAGTTGTACTTATGTATGTATATGTGTGTGTTTCTGTATTTAGTTGATTTTAAACAACAAAAACACTTGGAATTTTGGTATAAGTTATTGATCCAGTAGAATATAAACAATGAAAGTAATGAGGGTCAGAGTTTATTTGGGCACTCCCATTTGACAGAAATGATTTACTTGAAAAACATGATTGATATGTACGTAAGTTGTCATTCAAATTAATAATGTAAATTCAGATTTTTGAAATATGAGTCCCCACATGTTTTGTGGGCTCTCAGGAGTGGATTTTTGTATTGATAAGAAAATTAACATGGACTTTTAAGGAACTGCTTAAAATAAATATATGTGTGTTCAGGTCCTCGTAATTGGTGATCAAGGAAGTTTTGGGGGCTCATAGAACTAACTGCATCGATTTATTTAAAAATTGGGAATAACATGTAAATGGTCATTCAAAACAAAGAGTGTACAATTTTTGAGTAGCTGTTGTGTCCATGTAATTTGAACATACCTTAGAAATTTCACTTTTTTTATCATTAATTGTGACAGAAATTTTATGAATGTAAAATGTGGTTATTAAAAAATTTATGTTATAACTGTAATCTGTTAACTTTTAAGTCAGATGTTTTAGTAATTTGGTTTAAGCTGTTATTGTACTTAAAACTGAAGAGAAATTTTTCTATATTTTGAACTGTTATAATTTTTATCTGTTTAGTTCATGCTGGTAGTTTTCCAATATGTTAAAGTGTTAACTCAGTTATGTTTATTAGATCCAAGAAACGAAGACATGAGGATGTTGAAAGTAAAAATATTTCCAATTCTATGGTGGATAGGAATAGTAAACGAAAAAAGTCAGAAGATAGTCAGGAGT